TTTTCTTCTTCTTTTAAATTTCTTTTTTAGCTACAAGCTTTATAATGATCAGTGTGTCTAATTTCCCCCTAGCAACATGTAACCGCATACACTAGCTCAGGATTTAGTCAGGATGTTTAAACAATTTGTTTTCACCACTCCATTCCTTCAGTCGCCGTGGCGTAGCGGCTAGTTGTTGGCGTGGGGATCGGAAGGTCGTGGGTTCGCTTCCTGACAGAGCCCGGACTTTTTTCAAAAATGACCTCGACTGTCAGGTCAACCCAGCATTAAGTGGGTACCGGGTGCAGTCGCGGGAAGCAAAGGCGGCAGGCGTAATGCTGACCACATCACGCATCTTGTGTAGATTGGTCTATAAAAACATAGGTCCAGCTATATATGCGCTTAACTCCTGAAGGCGTAGAAAAGGGACCTTAACTTTACTTTTTACTCCATTCCTTCAATGCTCTGGATTTTATTAAACAACAAGCAAAATAGTTCGGCCAGATAACGCGGATGCCATCAAGCACTATACCACTGCAAGCGATGAAGAGCAGACTTGGAAGCAAAGAATAGGCCCACCATGCAAACGATGGACAGGGCGAATAATATTTCCTGGGAATCCTCATATACGATGGCACTAACGAGCACTTTTGAGCAAATTATACTTGATCACGAAACAGAAGGTACCAGATAATCAAAGATGAAATGAGAAGACTCCTGTGAACATTACTAGAAACTTCTGAATGTATCAACATACAAACTTTTCACTGTTTTCTTTCCAGACCATGCTGAAGTTTTCCGAGTCCTACAAAATGATATTGGATGAACTATTGCACGAAGGGCTGGCGAGTACTGATCAGCAAGTAATTGGGGCCATGTACTCTCCGGGCTTCATCAAACGGCAACGAGTAGATATCGTCGGTTACAGCTGCCACGATGGGCAGTTTGGTCTCTATTCCTCTGATGTAATATATTTCTGTTTGGGGTACATATGTAAAGATGCGGCAGAGAAAAGACTTAATGCAAGTAGAACTGAGAGGATGAAGATCACTGGTCACAGACATTGATGTGTTTTTTTAAGACAAAATTAGTGTTTGAAAAGAGCTAAAATGACAGTGTAAAGTATTATTTATAAGAAATGAAAAAGGCAAAGAAAGAGAAGAGGGAATTTAATCGCACAGTGAGATAGAAATGTATTATCACGATGTGCACAGAAGATCACAAACTAAACGAAGGCAACATATGCGTATAACTATATCAAAGCAGAATTATATATAAAGATAGTATATATATATATATATATATATATATATATCTATATTATATATATATAAAACTTATTTATATATATATATATATATTATATATATATATATATATATCTATATATATATATATTATATATATATATTTCTTCATATATATATATATATATATATATATTATCTCATATATATATATATATATATATATATATATATATCTATATATAGATATATATGAAGCAAATTCCTCGTCTTCTCCTTGTTCATCTCCTTTTCTTCTTCTCTTACTGTGCTGAAAAAAAAATTTGAACAATTTGAAATTTGTTTTCAAGATTGTTGAAATTATACTTAGAGTGTTCATGGGCATAATTGTAACGGACTGTACATAAGAACATTCTTTTCGAGATTGCAACTTATTTAAAAAAATCCCTCCTAGAACAATGGGGCACTACATACACACAAACACACACACACACACACACACACATATATATATATATATATATATATATATATATATATATATATATAATATATACTAGCTGTACCCGGCCACGCGTTGCTGTGGCATAGTTTGGCTAAATGAAAATAAAAGAAAATAGAAATCGCACGTGTCTAATACAATTATTGTCTGCTCAGATATAGAGATAGTCTTGATCCCCGCCGCCCCCCCCCCCCCCACCACCACAACTAAATCCACCTACTACTCTCTCCCTCATCATGGTTTTTGGAAAAGAAAGACAATGGAAATCGCACGTGTCTAATATAGTTAATGTCGCAATTATTTTCTGCACAGATATAGAGATAGTCTGGTTTTTCAACTTTAGAACACGCACCTTATAATTGTGTCTTTATATTAGTGGTCGTTTAAATGGTGTTATTAGCACAGAAACAAAAATTGTTATTTGGTTTTCACATGCTAAAGCTGATTGTATTTTTATAGGGGACGGAAGTAAAGCTACAACTGTACTTGTGAATAACAAAGTAAGTCGTACAAATAGAAAAGCGGAGGTTGCGTTAGTAAAATATAAACAAATTGGGTAATGAGAACTTGAAAATCACGTGTAAAGCTCTTTAAGTTCTCTTAAATTTAGGTCATTATCCCCTCCCCTCCCCTCTTCCACCGACTACTGCTCTCTCCCTCTCGGAAGGATTTGAAAATCATTATTGGCGATATTGTTGCTGTAACTGACATTGACATCCCTGTCCACCCAGACTAAAATGGGGAGCAGGAATTGTAATAGGTAGTGAATGGGGCTAGTGTAATAATTACCACATAATCATTCAAGTACCAGTACAACTACTACCACGACCACCACCACAGTAGCTAAAATAATGTCACTGCTAGCTGTGTTACCATCGGCGTAGACAGAGAGTCGTGAGCCAGAAGATTTGGTTCCGCATGGCTAGTGCTGTCGCCACAGACTGGTCAGGTTAGGATGTATAATTTCACTTGCCGACAGAACAACGCCATAACCTTACCGGCGGTCTTCACATGAGAGCACTATGGTGTAACAGCACAACCACAACTATTACTGCTGCTGCTACTTTAAGTGGGTAAAGCAGTTACTGTGACTTAAAGCTCTCTCAGTTAATAGTTTGCCCCCCCCCCCACCCCTCCCCACATTCACCGACAACTCTTTCCCTCATTGAAGTAGTTGGAAGGGAAAAAAAACACTTGAAAAGCAAATGAACACAGGAAAAAAAAAACATTAATTAGGAAATGAACGCTATGGTAAACAGCACAGCTTAAAATTCCAACGCAGATGAAATAACTAAATCTAAATGAAAATAAATCGAAAGCTATGAAATTTCAGCATAACCATGCAATCGGAAAGTTTGAAAATGCAATCAAAAGTATGCGAAATGGTCAAATTTAATTATCAAATGGTTTACCCATTTACTTGTCTTTTTTTTTTTTTTTTTTTTTTTAGTATTAAGGGCAACATTGCTAGTGCTGTCACCACGACAGAGCAGATAAGGATATTATTTTAGTCCAGGGTAAAAAAAAATTAACTACTGCGGATTTGAACCCTGGTCTCCCGCACGGGAACCCAGTGTTCTAACCATTCGACCAAGCAGCCACTTCATCGGAGCACCGAAAATAGAACTGAACTATCAGAGATATGTGTCCCTACTACTGTGTCCCGATTATAACACAACTCAAAACCGCAGGCAATTGTTTTCTCGTAGACAGATACTCCAGATATATTAATGAAACGGCACAACAATAGAAATCGCACGTGTCTAACACGGTTAATGAAGTTAATGTCGCAGTCAATGTCTGCGCCGACGTCGAGATAGTCATTGATGCCCCCCCCCACCCCCCACCCCCCCCCCCCCCCCCCCACCCCAACCCCCATTGAAGGTTGTTTGAAGAAAAAACAGAAAATAGAAATCGTGTTTTATATGGTTATTGTGGCAAATATAGAGATAGTCTTGTTTGCTGTACCACGACCTACTCTATGTATTAGAGAAGGCGTTGGCTGCACGTAACTGGCCGGCGAATGGTGGAAGCCTTGAGATTTTTTAAGGAGGTTTCAATAAACGAAAATTGCATGGTGTCATATCATGACTTTAGGATGACTGTTGCTAAATGTATCTCTTGTTTCGGGCAAATGTTTCCTGCACCATATTTTTTGCAAACATGCGAACCAGAATTATCGCACAAAATCACACAGTGAAAAAGCTTATCAGGGCGTTTATTTTTGATGGCTTTGTGTAGTTTGTCTAGTGTTTCCAAGCAGTAGGTAGAGTTTATCTTGACAGCAGGCTGTTTTAAAGTTATTCCAGCCATCCATCTACCCTTACACATTTCCATGAATCGATCCTTGTATCCCACCATCAATTCATCCACCCATATACCTACCTGCATAGACATTCTTCAACACATATGTTATACACAAATCTATCTATTCATCCATGGACCCATCCATAAAGCCCTCTATCTGTCCATCAACCAAATACCAATCCATTCATCTATTCCTTCGTCCATCTATCCTGTAGCCCCTCAAACCACCTAATCCTCTGTCTATCCACAATTTTATCAATTCCTGGTCCACCCACTCAAACATTCCACTCCTTCATGCTTCGATGAATCCGTCCCTCCATACATCCATCCTGCAATCAATTCCTCCACCATCCACCTTCACATCCATTCATTCCTCTTTCCATCCACCCCTCGCCCCTTCCTTTTTTTAAACAACTTATCAGATCTGTGCAATGGTTCCATCTCTTAAACACTCACAGTTTCCTTTCTCCTGTTCTCACCAGTCTCCTTACAGATATAAGGCAAGCAGAAATAATCGCGATCAGCCCCATGTAATCCGAACTGCCCGTCCTTACATCTGTAAGCGTTTATATTGACAGGTTGCTGGTGTATGTAATCAGGTGAATACATGGCCCCGATGATCTGCTGGTCGGTGCTGGTCAAGTTCTGGTCCAGCAGGATTTGGACCATGTTTTTATAGGACTTTGAAAATTTCTCCATGACCTGTAGAAACATAAGGAAACAAACCAATAATTAAAACTTCACATGCGTAGTCATTTCTCTGTGTGTATGTGTGAGTGTATGCATATATGTGTGTGTGTATATATATATATATATATATATATATATATATATATATATATATATAATATATATATATATGTGTGTGTGGTGTGTGTGTGGAAGAAAAGAAGCTCATAACACTAGTCAACCAACTAAAATGTCTCATCAGGTGCATACTACAGTAACAATTCCGGGCACATCATTAACAGGGATGATGCATTCCGAATTATTTACAATTCGGCTAACCGTAGATTACTTCGATACGCGGAAGCTTCAGCGATTGGCAGATTGAAACCGGAACTTTTTAGGCAAAAAGAAATGGTCGTTGCCCTACGTTTGCCTTGGTGAAACAGTTTGAAATCTACTCGAATTTGTGTTTCAGTTTCTAGGATTCAGCTATTTGCTTTATTTTAATTAATTGTTACTGTAGTATGCACCTGATGAGATACAGCGAAATATGCCAGGCAATAAATTGTGCAGTCTATTGTTTGTGTCTTCTTTGTTCAAATTTACATCGGGGAAACATTGCTTTGATTATTTTATTACGGTCAATTTTTATATATGACGCAACTGTTGTAGTCGATTGCATTATTTTTTATTTTTAATGACCAAAATAAATAAAACTAAACGTTGATGATGCAATCCTACTTATGATTACGTTTGTGTATCATTTCCTATTTCAGACAGAATTTCGCAGTTAGCATTTGTCGGTATCAGAATTATCATAATTAGAAATGCCTACGACATGTTTGAACAGCGCTAGAAGTTTCTCTTTTATTTGTTGGGAGGTAAAATTTCTGTCAACAACAAAAACGAAACATACCTAAAGTAATCAAGAAGGCATACAGTTTTTATTATGGCAGCAGACAAAGGCCAGTAAGATAAGAACCAGGTGCCGCCCCCTCTCCCACATACACACACACACACACACACACACATGCTGCAATACAGGTGCATCACTTCTTAAACTATGGTTGACAGGTAAACGGCAAGCTATGCCTTTCTTAGCTAAAGTTATTTGGACAGAACCCACAAATCATCACACCTCTACTTTTGCAAGGCCCTATTGCTGATTAAACGGTCAGCTCCCGATACCACTGTCGAAACCAACGGAAGACCAGACCTGGGATCGAACCTGACACTTTGTCATTGCTCGACTAATGGAAAAGTCATCCTATTTTTCCAGTGACTAATCCCATAATGGTAGATATCGTAACACTTGTTTCCCGTTCCCATGGCTAAAATATAAAAATGTTTCCACACAAAAAAGATCTTGACCGATTTTGCACTCGTTGGAAAGACAATGGTGTCATCAATATAAGCACACGGTTTCTGCTTAGCCTTACCTGATAGTAGTATAGTAGTGAGTTTTCAATCATCAATTCTAGGAGCGTGGCTTTAAGCGGCAAAAACGGCAGAAGCAAAATCGATATAGTAGGAGCCTGACTTACGAATAAGGGAAAATAACATTGTAACATGGATATTTGTCGGAGCATGACTTTAAAGAGCAGATTTAAACAATTTCCAATTTTCAATTAGGGGTTGAAAAATGGGAACGTCTAGTGTCAGGTTTATTTTTAAAAGGGAAGATATGTATGACGTCATCAACTCGATATTTGTAGGAGCAAGACTTTAAAAAGAAAATTTAAAAAGTAATAGCAAAATTGATATTTGTAGAAGGGTGATATTAAAGAGATGAATTTGCAAATCAAAACGTTTGAGCTACTGAAAAAAAGGGAACAACTCATGTCATAAATTAATAGTTGTAAGGGGTAACCCAGTAGTTTTCAGGACATAAAACCCATGAGCAGTGGGCGGAGACCACTCTCTATTTTTTGTTAATAGACAAACTGTATAGCTAGAGGTGGGTATATGACTGTTTATATAAATCAAGGAGTGTTGTTTGGCGGGACAGAAAGTATATATGTTATACAGTAAAATACTAAAAGACTGATAAAATGTTGGTGTATGAGACTTAGTTTATATAAATTGAAAATATATGAAAACTATACAATAGATGACATTGCTTACTTTGTTTGATCGGCATAGGTAATTATATTTAAAAGATGGTCAGTATTGGTCAGAAAAAGTGGTCAAGTTTGACTTTATTTGGGAAAATTCAAAAGATACAATTGAAACTATCACCAGAGAACATTTGTCAGAGTTTCGCCTAACATTTAAACTTTTTTTTTTTTCACAGACGACCTTTTTTTCACATTTGTTTTTGTGTCAACTTTGCGCACTGGTGGCTATTTTATATATATATATATATATATATATATATATATATATATATATATATACGAGTGCATTCTGCAAATTGTCAGACTTTTCCTAACATCCACCGTGTAAAAACTTTTTTTTTAGGTCTTTTTTTTTAATTTTACTTTTCGTTAATGTTAAACAACTAATCAAAGTGTGTGTGTGTGTGTGTGTTTTTTTTTTTTTACACCTTGCAGATTTTTAAAAATCAGCTGATTTCGTAATTGATTTTCTTCATTGAACAACTTATAACAGTTTTTTTTTTTCCCCTGACGTGCATCTTGTCAAAATGTTACTACTGCGGGATTTCTTTCCAAGTTCTTGTACACTGGTTACGTAGGCAATGTTTTCCAAGACAACTTGTTGAAGGTTTCACGTCAGACATCTTGTAAACTTTTTTTAAATTTTTCTTACAACTCGTAGGCATTTTCACATGGAGCCTCTTGCACACTCTCAGCTTGTAAAAAAAAATATGTTTCATGTAGATAATACTTAGATAAGATGTACATTAGTTTTTAAAAAAAGGTTCATCATAGTATTATCTACATGAGACTTTTTTTTTTACAGGTTGTAATTCATCGGTGAACTTAAAAACTGCTTTTTCTTTATAGCCACCGATACACAAGTCAAAATCTTTCACATCGAACATCATGTAAATTTCTTGTTTTCAATTTGCATTTTTTTTCTTCCACCGACGTCACTTTGTTTTGAGTGCATTAGTCAACAAGACAACGTCTATTATTCAACTATATTCGTTTGTGTCAGGGAAAATAAAGCTGACAAAGTGACATACTTTTAAAACGTTGGGAAAAAGGGGGGGGGGGCAGAGATCTCATAGTTAAAACATAAACTGTATGTCAGTGAAAATAAAGCTGAAAAAGTGACTGCTCAATGAGAAGTATCAAAAGCTGTCCATCGTAAAAATATTTTGACAGGATTTATGTCGGTGAAAAACTGTGACCACTTGATCGATCTGGAAAAAAAAAAACATAACACAGTTGTGCTATGGAGAGAGGGTTACAAAAAATTACCAGTTTCTCGGTGGGAAAAAAATTCTAAAATATGCACGAAACAAAAACAGTAACTGACCTTTAAAAGGTTAGAAAAATGTGTCCTGTGGTGAAAACATTTTTTTTTAAATGTGTATGTCCGTGGAAACGAAGTCGACAAGTCAACCGATCTACACATCTTTAGGAAATATTTGTCATCCTATTTTCCTAAATATGGTCATACGTGACCACTACCATTTACCAGTGATGACCACTTGATAAAATAGCATCTATCAGGTCATCTTGACATCCCTGGCCAATTTTTTTTTTTCCTATATAAATTCATACTTTACTACTCACACTGAACATCATCTTAATATAATTTATTATCTCCATCAAACAAACCAATCACTACCCCTTGTTTTAAAGCCTTCTAATAAATAATTAGTATAAGCATAGTCTTATGCAAAAACTTTTGTATCAATATTTGTGTATTTTACTATATAACATATATACTTTATTTTCCCAAAAATCAAATCAGTCAATACCCCTTGTTCTTTGTAAACAGTCATGTCTCCACCTCTAATTCCCCCCCCCCCCCCCATAATTTTTCTTCTGAAAATCAAAACACCGTGAGTTCTCTCTCCTGGTCATGTGAAAGAACTGAGGATTGGAAGTTTCTCTGATGTGTATAGTTGTGTGTATGTGAATATATATATATATATATATATATATATATATATATATATATATATATATATATATATATATGTGTGTGTGTGTGTGTGTGTGTGTGTGTGTGTGTGTGTGTGGGTGGGCGGAGGTGCTCACTTGTTCTCATGTTTTGCGTTATCGAAATAGCAATAATATGAGACAAGAGAGAGAGAGAGAGAGAGAGAGAGAGAGAGAGAGAGAGAGAGAGAGAGAGAGAGAGACAGGGTGTCAACAATGACTGTACCTCTGTGGTGGCCAACACAAAACCGCCAGCGACCCACACACGGTTAGACCAAATGTAGTCTCTGGGTGTAACCTTTGACATCTGATCTTTTTGACTGACCTCTGTCATTGAGACACAGCTGGAGTTGACATTAGGGGGCACTTCGAGCGTGAAGATATAACCTGCGCTCCCCAGTTTTCTGTCCCCGGGAAATAAATGAACTTTTATGTGGCTGACTCTATCAAACAAACAGTTAATACAGAATGTGCTTACTGTTTAGATAATAATACCTATACAAAATAATTTTGGCACAAGTAGTAGTAGTAGCAGTTGCAGCAGCAGCGGTAGTAGTAGTAGTGATGGTAGTAGTAGTAGTAGTAGTAGTAGTAGTAGTAGTAGTAGTAGTAGTAGTAGTAGTAGTAGTAGTAGTAGTAGTAGTAGTAGTAGCAGTAGTAGCAGTAGTAGCAGTAGTAGCAGTAGTAGCAGTAGTAGTAGTAGTAGTAGTAGTAGTAGTGGTAGTGGTTGTGGTGGTGGTGGTGGTTGTATGTAAAGTAAATGAGCCCTTTTCCACTCCTAAGCCGCATTTGGCATACAGGGATAAAACTATATTTTATAGACCACTCGGCAATGGTGTGTAATGTGATTAGCATTACGCTCGGCACCTTTACTTCCTAGGACTTTACCTGATACCTATTTAAGGCTGGTTTGACCTGGGAGCGAAGGTCATTTTTGAAAAACGTTTGGTTCCGTCGGAACCTAAATCCTAGAACTGCGGATCCACTACATGACGATGGCCTTGCGTAATTTATATCAATATCTGTATGTCACTATCTTTATGATATGTTGCTAGTAAATACCTTTTTAACCGCTGAGGACACTGTTGTGTCGTGTCTAAAAAACACGTATACAGTCTTTTCTTTCAGCACAATCTCTTTGTACCGATTTTAAATTGCGTAGGCCTGAAGTGATTTTTAAAAAAAAACAAGGGGTAAGGTACCCTTTTCACGACTTTGAAGGATCGAGCCTCAAAGATGGATTCGTAATGAGGTCTGTATAGAGGATACCATTCTAATCTGAAGATTTCGCCACAGGAAAACCCTCCAACTGTGCTCTAAGGCAGTAGAGAATGGTAAATATACTGCGGTGTGGCCAACGCAACAATGCGAGCTCAGTATGGTGGTGAAATAGGATTTATGACACTCATGTGATGTCATTTATTTTACGGTCTTTATTCCCTCGGCTAAATTTAAACAATAGTATTTGTTAACGGATTACAAAAATAAGCTGTGGGATTATTTACTTCTGTTTTTAACTTTAAAGTATATAAACTTGACTGAACACGCAAGATGTAAAATAAATGTACAGGTTAAATATTAATAAATTATTTTAAGCATAAATGTTTATGATAAATACGCAGGAAATAATCAAAACAGTTTAATAGCCCATATGAAAATATATCACACAAACCTACACGTAAGTCAGTCAAAAATAACTGGTTGAAACACTGCAGTTTAATATTTATTTTGTGAAATGACTTCCGTCACTTTTCAATTTGCTATGCATTTTATCATTTGTTCGAAATCAATTGACCAGTTCTTTTTTTAACCGTGTGCTGTCAGTTTAAAAAACTAAAAATGGCCTTTCCCAAGAAAAGATTGACGTTGGAGTATATTGTAAATCTTTGTGCAGTGTGCATATTCATTTTCTTTAAAGCCAACATCATGCGAAGAAATGAAAGAGAAAATAACTTTGTTCCTTTTTTTTTTCCTTTCCAGATGACAAATGGCTTTTAAAATGACTGCATTCTTCACTAAAACTGCCGCATGTGTCGGAATTGTAAATGGTTTAAAGTTTCTCGGCAGCACCGTTAATTTGAGTAACTTATAATCCGGTGATACTGTACACACTGTTGTCGGCTCTATGGCTAAGTCGATGCGAACGCTTCGTAATGCCGGGGTGCCGGGTTCGATCCTAGCTGCAGGCCATGCGCCTTGCGTTGGCTTGACTGACTGACTGACTGACTGACTTTCTACCCCACCAGGAGATCACACAAGCGATAAACACCCGATGACACAAAGTACCACCATGTGGATGAGGATCACCGTGGAGAGGTCCCAGAAACCGCGTTTAGACAATTGGCCATATTAATGGCCTGCCTACAATGCGGTCGCTGGCAAAAGCCAGGGTGGGGCTTCAAATAACAAATTTCATCCTAAAAATGACATATGGGTTTTTTATATGCGTTGGTTTCGACAGCGGTATCAGGGAGCTGACCGTCCAGTAAGCGATAGCAAACTACTGGACGTTAATTTGCCAAGAGAAACCACACAACAGCCAGGGGCTGCAGGGGTTGGTTCTGCAACGTCCTGTAAAGGATATGCAACTAGCCTTAACTGTACACTGTTACGCCAAGAATTAGCAACATATCAAATCATGAAAAATCCGAAAAACACAATTTTTAAACTCCGTCAAAAAGCCAGTCAGGGCTTATTACAACAATAACTTTTAGGCAAAGTAATGATAAAGTTAAGGCAGCAGAGTTGCAACTTGCTGTAAGCATGACCTGCCATTGTGCAATACGCACAATCAATTGATTATCTAAGTGAAATCATGAAAGCGCGTGGTCGGGGGAGTACATTGGAGCACATACAGTTGCATAGAACTAAATATTTATGCATAATTTAAAAAAAAAAATTATATCGCCTGCACTTTAAGCTGACAAGGTTTACGCTGTATCTTCCCCGTGTTTCAGTGAGAGTGATAGTCAGAGATGAAATCTAGTGCTTGTGATGTGAAGTGAGTACAATTTTACATTTTATGTGGCATTTTTCTGGCGTATTTTGGGTAGTAGTTTGGCTTTTTTTTTTTTTTTTCTGGCAACTTGCCGTAATGCAATTCACCTTAGATCGTCTGGATCTATTTGTGCCTCTGGACTGTTCATTCGCTCCCAACGGGCCCTGGCAACATCTAGCTTGTCATACATCAATTCACCTCTAAGTGGTGCAGAACCACCTTATCTGCCTGTTTGGACTGAACCATTCTAGAAGTAAGGTCTCGATACGGCCCAGCTAGCACTACCAAGTCTCTTAGAATGGTAACAGAACCGTCTGCAGCAGCACAAAGAATTTTCTATCATGAACTTTCAGTATTAGAGATAATGCAGACCTGGCAATGCCATACTGTTCGACAACTGTCGTTTTCTTCAATGCACAACGGTTGATTTCTAAGATTTCTTCAATGCACAACGGTTTATTTCTAAGATTTCTTCAATGCACAACGGTTTATTTCTAAGATTTCTTCAATGCACAACGGTTTATTTCTAAGATTTCTTCAATGCACAACGGTTTATTACTAAGATTTCTTTAATGCACAACGGTTTATTTCTAAGATTTCTTCAATGCACAACGGTTTATTTCTAAGATTTCTTCAATGCACAACGGTTTATTTCTAAGATTTCTTCAATGCACAACGGTTTATTTCTAAGATTTCTTCAATGCACAACGGTTTATTTCTAAGATTTTTTGTTGTGTGTGTGTGTGTGTAAGTGTTTGTGTGTGTGTTTTTTTTTAATGTGTGCGTGTTTTTTTTATGTGTATGAGTGTTTGTGTGTGTTTTTTTTATGTGTGTGTGTGAGTGTTTGTGTGTGTGTGTGTGTGTGTGTGTGTTTTTTGTGAGTGTTTGTGTGCGTTTTTTTAAGTATGTGTGAGTGTTTATGTGTGTGTGTGTGTGTGTGTGTGTGTGTGAGTGTGTAGATCTATGCATGTCTGCTTCCTCATGCGTGACTCCCATCTCAATGCTTGGAAGTTTTAATCTTGACATTACTTGTACTGGCTACGTTTTAACGATTTTTTTTTTCTTTTGGTGGTCCACACACAAAAAAGAAAAAAGAAACTGAACACATATTCGACTAAATCTGTTGCTGACTGCTGACAAGATGATTGCGATTGTCGAGCTATTGCGTCAAGTAACGTTAATGTTAACAACAATAACTCCTAGTTCACGCACCCAGATAATGTGAATTTGTCAACTGTAAACTTTTTGATTCCTTTATTACATACCTAGCAGAGCAAAAACAGAGAAACAAAGATTATTAAGCGCTATTGCCAGGTCCCCAAACTGATTGCCACAGAAATGGGAGTGCCAAATTTAAAAAAAAAAGTTTATGTCCATCTAACCTTTCGGGGAGATGACTTTAGGCGACATTTTTAAGACCAGCTCAAACCAGCAGTCAGTCAGACATTCTAAGCAAGCAGTCATGCCTGTTGTCAGATCTTTTGTAATTTTCACGCTACCAGTGAAAGAACCAGTTCGACGTACTCCAAATCAAATTGTATTTACCAATAAGTAAGAAGAAACTCCACAGGGGAGCATGTACAGCAGGAGTCTACCAATCATCAGTAGAAGTAACCTCTCGTCGACAAATATTTCTGCCCACGAGCTCCTAGACATTTTCAGAGAGTGGACCCACCTGAGTTCATGAGGCTCAGGGTTGATTTCCTCCTGCTGCACGTATTACCGGATGTTCTCGGACAGGGACAAGACGAAATTTGTGACTTTTGCAAACGGTACTGTGAGATACTGTGTTTACATAGTCGCTGCGGTAGCATAATTAAAGCAGCCTGCATACCTGGACGACCAAGTGGCAAGATTACGGTTGGTTTATCGTACACATGTTAGACTTTGTTGGCAGATTGCAGAGGGACACTGCCAGACAATTCGGACACGATGGACTTTAAGGGATAAGACATTCTTTTCCACTAGACACACGGACCAGCTCACCGAGGCCAGTCACCCACGACGTTTCGTTGTGTCCAGAGCCAGCTCGAGGCCCTGACAGCAACCTCGCCCAGTTGTTTTGGTGGTCGTTTGCGTTCATTTCCTCGTCAGCAAAGTTGTTTAATCACATTGTACATTGAAGTGGAAACGATACCTCTTGCGCCTACCTTGACGGCGAAGATTCTTATTGTGTACGCTTCGTCTCTCCTCAGCTTGTACATATGGCTTTCGTCCATTCGCGACTCATACGGCACGGTCAGCTCAATCAGGATGAGCTGACGTTTCTCAAAAGAGTGTAGGACTAGGTTGGGTCGCAGGCCAGTCTTCCGGATTAACTCGGGGTACTTTTCATGACCAGGCAGGTCAACCACAAGTAACCAGTCCCTCGCACAGTCTAGCATTGACGGAGCGTATGCGACTTTGTTGAATTTACCTTCATAAATCTTAAATGCATCAATTTAAATGCACCTGTAATGTTGAATATGTAGGCAGAACTGAACGACTGGAGAAACCGGTTGCGGAAAACCCTTCACTATGTGTTGTAAAAGCAATGCAAATTACTAAAAACAACAACGAATGGGGTGACTGGTTGCAAGAATTACTCCTTAGCCATTGCGCAATATATTTTTAATTATGTGCACAATGTGAATAAGAACGATGCATTTAGAATTCTCTACATCTCAGCAAACCGAGATTACTGGGATTTATAGAAGCAACAACAATATACCGGTTTAATCCAGAATTATGCCGACAAAAGGACATGGTAGTCAACTTGCGTTTACCCTAGTGAAACTTTTGAACATAGTCGATTTTGTGCTTCAGTTGGAAGAATTCTTTTATTTACATTATTTGATGAATGTACTATGCACCTGAGCAAAACATGCCAGGACAACAAATGACTGGAAAATAGAGAATATTATCTCCACTTACCTAAACAGCCCAATATCCATCCATGCCACATACTTGCTCTGTATTAGACCTTTGGAAGGGAAAAAAAAGACGACAAATATTTCCATTATACACTATATCTGGGAAATACCCTATGGCTGATTTTTATCTAAGATGAAAATAGGAGACTTAGGCAATTATGGAGACAACAGCATTAAAAATGAAAATGGCGACAAACAGTTAAATATATGAGCACAACATGACCTTGAGTTCTTTATTAATTTCCTACCCCCAGATGACGTCACAGGACAGTCCAATATTTTAGAGGGGGGTAAGACTGGGTTTCCCAGGTTTCTGGTGCTTTTAACGAGCCCAAAATATCTAGAACTTGCCCTAACCTCAACATACCCACGTCCCATGAGAGAGTGCAGCCTAAGTCTAACAACTGCATGCAGCCTAGGTCCCACCACTGCATGAAGCCTATCTACCAGCCCTTGAAATTTTAGACTGTCCCGTGATCTGTGGATTTTTCCTGTATGGGGTATGATGTTATTAAAGCACCTGACCTTGTTATTACCAACACCTTCTTTCAACATAGAGCTTCACAAGTTTTTACATGGTACAAATAATATTATCCAGATACTAAGAATCAGACTGATTACATCTTGTCTAGAAAAATAGACTTACATTAGGTTACAGATTCGAAATTTGTACCAAACTTGAGAAAGGATTCAGATCATTTGATGGTGATACCTGACAGAAAAGTCAAGATAAGTTATCGAATAGGTAAAAAAAATGGAAAAAAAAAGTGACATCATTAAATGGAAAAAAACTAGAGTGTGAGAAAAATAAGCGAACATTTCAGCAAAAATTACGCAAAAATTGTGTACAGCTTCCATTTAAAAAAAAAAAAAAACGCTTGAGGTAGATGCAGGATGGTGAATTTCCAGGACCCCAATATAAAAACAGCACAAGAAATATATGGAACTAAAAGGAAAGGCAACATTGGGTGTAAGCATGGTGGTCTGGAAAAAAAAAAAAGAAGCATTGTGAGCAATAAAAAGAAAACCTATGGGATTTGGCTAAGGAGCAGAACTGAAGGGGATTACATAACATACAGGATAATTGGAAGAGAAGTAATTAAAACTATCAAGCAAGCAAAAAGAGATTTGTGGGATAGGTTTAAAAGTAAGCCGACGGAAGAAGAAAAAACAGCAGTGAAAAACGATTACACAAAACTCAAAGGCATTAGAAACAGGAACGAAGAATACCTAGCAGAAATTATAAATTTCAACAATTAATAAAACCTATCATAATGTTATCAAGATGGAGTTATTACTTTGAATAATTACTCAGATGCAATAAAACAGATGAAAGCAATGAAGAACATAAAAGCGACTCGGAACTAGCGACAGAGGAACTAGATAGAACCAGGTATATTATTAGATAAGGTAGAATGTGTCACTCATACCGTCCCTTGACTAAAGGCGACAGGCAGTGATGATCTACCTGCTGAGGCCATCAAGGCAGCAGGAGCAGCAGGAGCAACATTGTTGAAGTGAATATTCCAGGTGGCATGGGAAAAATCAAGAAACACCATCAGATTTGCAAACTGTTCTCATCGTCCCGAGAGTAAAAGATCAAACGCAGTAAGAGGGTCTGTACTAATTACAGAGTAATATCGTTCTCAGTCTCACTGGGAAAATGTATTTTTAAGATCATCGAAAGAAGGCTAAGACCAAAGATAGAGTATCAACTCTCAGAAGCACAGATGGGCTTTCGACGAAATAGAAGTTACACAGATACCATTTATACACTGAGACAAATATCAAAGAGAGCAATAAAAAACGATAAGACCTGTTTGTTGACATTCATAGACCGGATACAAGCCTTCGACGGAGTCGAGAAGAATATGTTGTGGGAATGTATGGGGAAAAAAGGAAATCATCTTATTATTATTTGCAAAAACCTAAACACACATAGTAAATGCTGCATAAGATCAAAGGCAGGGTTGTCAAGATCTTCTATATTGAACTCTGGTTTGCGTCAGGGCTGTGCTATCGCCACTTATTTTCATAACATGAATACTATATGTATGGAAACGATATTTAATCATAAAGAAGATATTACAGAATTACTGTTCGCCGACAAACAGGTACTCATAGCAGAAAGTACAATATGCCTACACACCACCTAAATCGCATTAATGACAAAGGGGAGGAATATAAAAGAGAATAAACACTACGAAGACAGAGAGAATGGTGATAGAAAGACAGAAAGACAATTTAGAAAACCAACGTCTTGAAGAACTCAAGTCTGAGTCCAAAGAAACTTAGCACACTGCTCAGGTTCTGTAGCACTGGCAAGGATCCTGAAATGCTTTGGGTAGATTTTTAATTCTAGATTTTGCCCGGGCATCGCCGTTAAGCTACTCAGTTCGATTTCCAACTGCCAGGGGATTTTTCACTTTCACAACAATGCACACCGGCGTCCGATACCACAACCCAGAGACTAGGGGGAATTACTAGAGGTCCAAGTCTACTTGAAGATATCCCAGTCCTTAACAGGAATTAAACCCAGAAACTCTAGCACTCGAGGCGGACACCATGCTTTAAGACCACGCAGCACCAGATGATATCAGCTCTCTCCATGCTACCTCCTATTTGCATTGGTACACTACTTGCTAGCTGGACAGCTTTTTCATTACCATTTACTCCTGCAAGGTATAACAAGCTATAGACTAAACGAAAAAGAAAAATGCAGATCCCATAGTCTGTGGTATAATTCACAGTGGTGACATAACATTTAAGTGTAAGATAAACAGAGAATGACATTTAAATTCAATTTAATTAAACTTTACCTGTAGCCATCGCCTTGTCTAGTGCGTCATATTTTGCGCTCATCGCACATGCGTATTCAGGGATGACTGTGTTGGGGTTGTGTTTAGGATAGGAGGGGTCACTGAATAGCTGCCGAACTCTTTCCAAGTGTTTAAATGATGACAGTTCGCTTCTGTTGACCTTTGTTAGAAATGTCCTGTCTTTTGGCTGCAAAGACCGGATTTTTCTGTTTAAAAGGTGGGGGGAGGGAGTGGGGGATATAAAATTATAATTAAATTTACTCACACTTCAACTGAAATAGTTTAGTGTATATTATACAAACTCAATACGGGCTTTCTCTTATTGTTCTGCTATACATTCCTCAATGGAGCAAAGATCCTCAGCCAACTTACGTTAAGTCGTCATATCCTCAGTAATCGCATTCACCTCACTTTATATCCTGCTAATCTTTTAAATTGTAATTCCCTTCTGCCTGTGGTTTCGTACACACATTATCAGTCTTAATAAACATTACGCCTAAATGGGTGCATGGCTTCAAATATAGGAGTGTGATATCTCCGAGAGAAATTGGAATATAGTATGTCTGGATTATACTTTTTTTCATCTTCTTCTTCTTCTTCTTGCAGTTCACTGGCTGTAAACTCAGGCAAAAAGTCCACTTTTAGATTTGGTCTTGATTCACAACTTGAGTGTTGCGTGCGGGCACACATGATATATAGATCTAGCTTGTGTGTATGCAGACTACTGGTTCTTATCAGGTAGATGAATTCTGACTTCCAAGTAAATATCAATAATTAGGTTTCTTTGCGACATGCTTAAAGGGAGTAGTATGTCTTTTCTTGTGTCCTCCACAATTAGTATGGGGTTTATTTTCATTACTTTGTCTTTCCGCTATGGATTGTTAGAACTAATTGTTGTGATCACTCATCATGTATGATTAATTTATATCTTGCATCTTATTTCATGAGTGCGATGGGAAAGAAATCCAGGCTGTTCTGTAGGGGTCCGCTGAAGCCCATTCCTGGTGGTAACTGTTCTGTCTTCGTAATCCAATCGTTCGCCACTAAAAACATAATAATAATAATAATAATAATAATAATAATAATAATAATAATAGAGGTGACAATAAGAATCCTATCGTAGATCTCTTCATGAGTTTTCACTAATCAATATCGCAATATGTCGTGTCTTTCTATGGGATCCAAAATCGTTCATCAATTTCCAGAGATATTCTGCACAAGGCCTGTCGTAAAAGGCAGGGTAGGACTTGCGGGTTGGTTATCCCTTTCCATAAATACCAGTAGCCATAAAAATAAAAAAACCAAGGAAAATTGCCTGAAAGAACAAGGGGAGAGGGGAGGGGGAGAGCGGTGGGGGAGAGGAAGCAATACTCGTAACTATTCACAGAACTCTATTGAAATAAATCGACTGTAATTTCTTCTTCTTCTTCTTCTTTTTCATTTTCTTCTTCTTCTTCCTATTTTTCATCTCCTTTTTCTTTTCTTCTTCTTCTTCTTCTTCTTCTTCTTTTTCTTCTTCTTCTTCTTCTTCTTCTTCTTCTTCTTCTTCTTCTTCTTCTTCTTCTTCTTCTTCTTCTTCTTCTTCTTCTTCTTCCTCCTCCTCCTCCTCCTCCTCTTTCTCCTTCTCATTCTTCTTCTGGTTTAGGATTAATCTTGTAGACTGCATTATAATGACAAATGTGCAGTATACTATGTAAAGAATTCTACTTCTTCGCGTTCACAAACTGAAAACTCTAAGGGAAAGTTCTGGTTTTCACATCCACTTCTGGACTGCAGTCCCGTTCCAGAACTTGAGTGTTGTGTGTGCATCAGTTTTACAGTTCTGACTCATTTGTATGCAAACTGCTGTTTCCTTACCTCTCATGCAGATGCACTGCCACTTCGAAGAAAGCTCCAAATTAGTCGACTCTTACGACATGCTTTTAGATAGGTAGTGGGTCTATTCTTGCTTTTTCTATAATAGGGCCCGGAACCCACGTGGGGATATGTAATGAATAAAAATGATCATCTTTCAGCTGTCAAGAAGCAAACAGTGAACAGAATATACTGCAGAATTTGTAGTTTGTGTAACTTTTTTGAAAGACTAGTTAGTTGAAGTCTTTAGACGCGTATTAAAAGCAGTAACCTTCTAAAAGGAGGTTAAATGTCAACGAAGCTAGAGTTTAGCTGACAATCTATAGACAACTGGTCCATAGATAAAACCGTACCTCATCAATGTAGCTATACAGGAAAAGAGAGAAAGACTGGAGAAGAAATAACGCAAAGACCTATAAAAAAGGAAGAGAAGAGGAAATACGGAAGCAAAAATGAAAGTTTTGATAAGATGAAGAAGAAGACTAAGATGATGATGATGATGAAAAAGAAGTAGAAAAAGGGCAAAAACAGCAACTCAGCAACATCAGTAATAAATATCAAAACAAAATGCAACAGCAAAGACAACAAGAAAACATCAAAGTAGCGAAAAGTGCTGTTCTCCGACCTGCCTACCTGAAATATTCCATGATCTGATCATCATCAAAGAACCCAATGACCCTGTTTGTCAACATGGCCCATGAGCCCATCCAAGTCTTGTACGTCTCCGCTGTGAAGATCTTGTTCTTGCCTTTGGGAAATGCACCAATGTTGACATACAAGGTAACAATTGTGATCTCCCGTGGGTTGGAGAGACCCCACCTCCATGTAAGCTAAAACAATTAAAATATTAATTCGTTTTGCATGTAAACGGCTAATTGTTTTCTTTATTATTATATCTCCCCCCCCCCCCCCAGATGACGTCACAGGACAGTCCAACACTTTAGAGGGTAGTAAGACTGGGTTTCCCGGCTTTCTGGTGCTTTTATCGACTCCAAAACACCTAGAACTGGCCCTAAACCCAACCCACCTTCGTCCAACGAAAGATTCCAGCCTAGGTCCCACGATTGCATGCAGCCTATCTACCACCCTCTGAAATATTAGAATATCCCGTGACCTGTGGATTTACCCTGTTTTGGTTTAGGATATTAAAAAAGCACAGCTAATTAAAATTAAAATGTAGAAAACACAAATAAGAAAGAGGCAGTGTTCTTTCGTCGTGTAATAATAAAGAGGGGCAATGGAGAACATTGTCCATTCATCATGTCACTCACCTGGAGGAGCTTTCAGCGAAAGGGCTTCCCACCGAACAATTGACACAATAAAATACACGCAGAGGTCGAACACGCAGAATATGCGCCGCAGATATATAAGTGACACTGAAAAATACTTTATACGAAGTAAACAAAAGGACATGCTTCAGAGATCTCTTCCCACCCAGACGACCGATGCATTCCGGGAGTAGAGAAAAGAAGAAGACGATGCATGAAAATTGGTGTTGAGCTTTGAATTCAGGGTTAGTTACGACACACTGCAAGAGTATACACTCACATCACCAACATCTCCTGCATGCAGAAGTGAAGTGGTCACCGACAGGACGAATTCTTCCACGTCTTTTTGAATCCAGGGAGGAAGTAAAGGCAGTTGCTAGAGCAAAAATATGACCTCATAGGACATTTTTTGAATGAGAAATGAATGGCTAAACAATTCTCTTCAGGGCACTCGTACAAATAATTTTTACACTTAAAAGTTAAAGGTAATTAGGAGAACCCGTTCCATATACCTCTTCCTAACCTGACGCTGCAAGATATTCCAGGGGTAGAGTAAAGAAAAAGAAGAAGTTAAAAATTGGTTGGTTAAAAAAATTAAACTGTTGGCTTTGTGAAATAATCGCGTACAAGAGACATTCCTAATTAAACATGAATTAATCAAGTATTGGGACAGCTAGCCCTCCCCCCCCCCCCCCCCCCCCTCTTACAGCATAAGACAATCCCAATCAGCACAAAGAGACATCTTATTCAAAGCATATTTATTCCAACTCTGTGCTACCAGTGCCAGACATGGTCACTCACAACAAACCATAAAAGAAAATTAGTAACCACGGAAATGAGATGTCTGAGAAGGGCTGTAGGAGTGACCATAAGAGATAAGATCAGGAATGAGATCATAAGAGAACAAGTCGGCACAGAACCAATTCTGGATTACATACAAAGACAGCAAGTGAAATGGTTTGCCCACTTAGAGAGAATGCCTTGTGACACCATACCATACAAAGCATACATGGAAAGAGAAGAAGGACGTAGAGCACGGGGTAGACCAAGAACAAGATGGAAGGATAACATCAGAGAAACTCTACAACAGCACGATGTGCCTATGGTTGAGGCAGCCAGAAGAGCTAGAAACAGAACCTTATATCTATCCAACATAAAACTTCAGCATTTACAGGGGTTAGCTGAAAACATTCTACTTCTTCTTCTTCTTCGCGATCCCCAGCTGTAATCTCTAGGGGAAAATTTTGGTTGTTCATCCACTTCTGAACTGTTCCAGGACCTGGGTGTTGCGTGTGCATCCGTTTTACAGATCTGATTTGTATGCAGACTGCTGGTTATCTGCATCTCAGGCAGATGGACTCCAACTTTGAAGGAAGCTCCCAGTTAGTCGATTCTTATGTCATGCTTTTGGTGGAGGTTGTGGGTCTTTTCTAGTTTTCCTTATAATAGGACCCCAGAACCCACACGGGGAGCTAAAAACATTGATAATTATTTCCCCGAAAATGTGAACCATCGTAAAGACAACCCATGGATTAATAATTGCTTCGTGGAAGATATACGACAATGCTCACTAGATTGTCATGAAAAGAAAAAGCTGATCGATTGGTGCAACTTTTGTGGTCATACATAATATCTCTGAGTTCATATACGACTCAGAAAAATATAAATTTCTGAGTTATGGAAGAGTCAAATTGTTACGGCTTTTTTTTTTTTTTTTTTTTCAAGTTTTATTTGTACAAAGAGACTTCTTCGACCATTTAAACATTGTGGTGTCCTGCTGGGGGTAGAACTACCTACCTACCAACTTGCTTTTTATTATCCAGTCATCCCTTTGTGGGACGCAATTTTGTTTTTATTTTAAAGAACGAAATAATTGAACGAAACAGAGAAATTGAATGGGACATACTGCAGCGCCACATCTATCAGAAACTATTCTCAAAGAACGTTAATAAGTTTACCTAATCTCTAAGTTCAGCGGATGTCTCTATAGTTGACAATTGTAGTTTTGTGTCAAAGGATTTAACAAATAATTTGTTTAGTTCTTTTAAAGCTTTTCATTTGTTTATTCTATCGTGTTACAAACATTTGTTTTGTTTCTGTGTTGGGCTAGCTGTCACGTGGGACGCGAAACAATATCCCCTGGATAAATAGGCGAAAAAACTCTGCTATAGAAAACGTTGGCGAACCTAGTCCATTGTTTTACTAGGCAAATTAAACGTTAAAAAAGTTTTTGCTTTAGCTCGTGAAATGTCTGCTCGCGGCACAGTTGTCGAAATAAAAGCAATGCGATCTGCTAACAAACTCTTCCGCAGATTTAATCGAAACAGGGTATCGTGGAATTACAAACCGTGTTCATAACAAATAAGCAACAAACACAGAATTACAAATAAAATACAACCATTTCTAATTATTATCTATTTATTTATGGGGTTTTTTTTAATTATCATGTGAATGTAAGGAATTAAATGGTATGATATAATAAACTAACAAAGAGCTTTGAAAGAACTTAACACATTTCTTTAAACAGGGAAGTGATGAAAAAGCATTAGATTGAGACGTTGACACATTGAGGAAACCCGACAAGAATATAATTAGAATGTTACTGTACTGGTGGTGCCCTCCGTAAAGAATAAATACAGAACAAAAGGAACCCACACAGAGAAGGGAATAAGACAGAGGCGTAAAAAGGATTGGGTGTGGGGTGATATGGTGAGCTGCATGCCATAACAAGGAATAGAGTGGTGGGAATTGGTTCGTGGCCATTGCTCCGATAAAGTGAAGAGATGAAGCAGAAGCAGATGTAACAAAGATCTTCAACGTCAAGAAGATTCTGTTTTAGTGGTCTTAACCTTTAAATAATGTAAATAAAAGTGGGCTCCTTGTATCTAACTTAAATTAATGTCATGATTATGAGAAATAGTCAAAACAAATAGGCATGCATTGATTGACAGACATAGACTGTAAGGAAAAAAGTAGACAGAGGACACAGATAAATGTAAAAATCCAAAACCGTGTTTACCACACTGTAAAATCAAGCGTCATCTCCAAATTAAAGAAGGGACTGCCTGCAATGACAAGATATTTCGAGACCTTCCCAACTTATCAATAACTACACAACTTTTTCCTATTTTCACTAGCCAGCATGCAGGCCCAACTTTACATACATGTCGGATGCCAGGTAGTAGTTGATCGCACAGTTTGTGCTGTAGCGTACAGTAGCAGTGGTTCTCCTCTCCCTCGCTTTATGCACACCTTGGGAACTTTGGCACCTAGTGGACTAAACTGCAAACACAGCTTTATCTATCTCCTAGAGGGCTGTACTGCCTACACAGTTTCCTCTCATCCTCGAGTGACTGCTCCTGGCATGTCCCCGGATATTGATTTTCCCGGCCCCACGTGCCTCGCCAGACAATTGTCTTGACTTCGACCTGGCTGCCACAAGGTACGAAGTGTGCATTTGTGTAGTACTGTCTAATCTATGTATGTGCTGAAAAAGGCTCCATAGCCGCAATGTTTTATTGTGTTTGTTATATTGTGAAGCTCGCGGATATACTTTTCGTTCGATTTTACATCTTTTCATTCTCCCTCGTCAGCATACCGAGCCAGATTCATTGCTGCAGATTTCACACACTTCCTTTCTCTGACTGGCTTACTATTTCCAGTTGGTGACGCCACATGCATTTAGTTATGTTTGTATATTATCTGCCCGTGATAATCATTGTCCGTCTTGTGCTCTTCTATTCGACGCTTTTGTATATTAGTTTTTATCTCTCTGTTATCTGTCATTCTCCCTGTATGAACAAACAGTCTTGCAGCTCTCTTGGTGGTGATTTAAACATATGATCAGGTGTTCCTTCTCATTCTCCATTCTCTGTGAATTTTGAAGAGTCCAAAGAATCGCTATAGACTGTTCTCCACTGGCAATGGTTTATTATTTTACTGAAGAGTGGGGGATAATCTGTGTCACCCAGTAAGGTCGTTGGTCTTTCCCAGTTTAGTCAAATAGACCCAGAGATGCAACTGAAACGTAAAGTGGGACTTACCATATGATTCATCAGGATGGAGTTAGCTGCGGAAAAGATGTGCCATTCTGAAGCAAACATTTTTAACTATAGTAAAACCATATGATGTTTTTCAGCAGGTGGAGGCAATTCGTGTATATACTATGCTAATTTCAATGATATAAATAATTATAATTAAACACAGCGCAAGCTATGACTTGGACGTTCAACAGCACACACAAAAAAAATTGTGGACTGTGTCGATAAGCCTAGACTATCACGTTTCGTCCTTTTACATGATCACAATAATCACAGATCAGGTCAGTGTTTTTATCTCATCTTGTCCAGATGGCCAAGCTAACCAGATATATTGATTTGTTTGCTTCCTCTTGTTGGTTTGCCATCAATCTTGCCAGTTGCTAGCAAGATGTTTGGCCCATTATTTCTCATAGAATGTCAGGAAAAATTGACTAATTTAATTTCTCTATTTAGATGACATAGAAAGTAAAATACAAGTACACATATAACTGAGCAAAAGTTCACCTTACAT